CCCCCCCCACCTACCCAAATACTAATTACTTTAACTCCAGACAAATTTCAATTATTGAATCGTAACCTTTTACGACATTTTCAGGGCGACTTTTTTAATATTGGCGAAGTTTTTAAGTTGTCAATTGAAATTTTTCATTTAAGAATTGCAAAAGCAAATAATGGAGGGGGAGGGGGAGGTGGGGGGGGGGGGGGGGGAAGATAACTATTTCAATTTCGACAACGATAGACCCATCCAATATAATGATTTCTATAAATAATTTAACCCTTTAACGCCCTGAATGACAGTACGCTTCTCTTTTAAAACAACGTTCAGTGATAATAGATTCGTAGAAGAAGGTGCTATAGCCGTTTGCGACGCATTTAATACATCTCAATAGCCTTTGTCTGATACTACCAAAACTCATAATGTCGGAGACCTCAGTCTGTTGTGTGATCTACGTGAGTAAAGTTGGGCGCTTTTTCAAAAATCATTCGGACGTTAAAGGGTTAGGTCCTAATTTTTATTTCGAAGCTCACTCTATGGTATCACCTGCTACATTTCAAATTACTTAAGCTAATGCTGAATACTGCCGTTTATCTATTAAAATAGGTGCACTACTACATGTTCAGTTCTCCGCAAAATACGGCAAATTACCAGAACACCACTCAACCAATGCTCAGAATTGATGGGCTGCAAGAACGAACTGTATATGCATTTCGTGTTCGAGCATTCACGAGTTCGGGTCCAGGACCTTGGTCAGCATCGAACACAATTCAAATCACCGCGGAAGGTGAGAATTTGAAATTATTTCCCCAAATACTTGTAGTTCATTCAGTATCCAAAAGAGCTTGTAAATTCAAACTAGAATACCCGAAATTGATGGGCATTTGCTAAGAAATCAAAGTGTAACAGCAAGAATGATGCTGAACAGGACAAGGAATGTGCGTTCTGTCAGAGCACTTCACTAATAGAATGGAAATTAAGGGAAACTCTCAAGTTACTCTTCAGCACACATTTGGCCGTTTGTTGTGAAGTCGTCGATTTTACTTTAAAAAATTGCCATTTCAACTCTTGGAATTCTTTCATCTCTACTGGGATGTTGAGGTCAAGTTCATGCCACTGAGATCAGCATGCATATACGTTAGCCGTTGTTGACTCTGATGGGGAGAGATAGGATATTTTTATTTCAACAGATCGTCGTCATAATTGTGACAATGAAATATTTTTTCACCTCGAATTGACAATACGGGGTGTTCCGAGAAAATGTATTACGCACTTAAAATAATCATAACCATAGCGATTATCATTTCATTATCCTGCAGCAGTCTGTTATACCAAGCACTAGAGAAAACTCTGAGGATGAAGAGTTTTAGTTTAAGCAAGATGGAGCACCCCTACATTGCCATCGTGATGTTAGATCTTTCCTTGATGGATTCTTGCCAAGCAGGTGGGATAGGAAGGAGTGCCTTTGTTGAATATCCTCCCCGTTCAGCAGATCTCAAATGCCAATATTTTTTCTTATGGGAATACTCAAAAGACTAAGTCTACGCAACAGTCACTGAAATAAGAGAAGTCATTGATCACGAATGCGTCCGAATACCAATTGAATAATTTCATGATGTGTGCGATTCCATTGCTTGGCGCTGTCAGCAGCATCTGATTCAAAATGGACGTCAGTTTGAGAACAAGCAGTGAAAACAATAAAGTTATGTCTGTAAAATATTTTCACGCTTTTGAAATAATAAAATTCTAAATGAACGCCACCCTGTATTTGTTGTCACGATTACCTGTCAAAATGCTTGGAACAGTATGGGCAAGTATAGGGCGGTAAGGCTGATGAGGTCGACTTGGGAAGTACCTTGAAGAATTGTTCATCCCCAGACGGAACGTTGGCCTTGGATATTATTGTCTATATCAACTCATTTTGGTCTGACTTGAGTTGGCACAACTATGTCCCTAAAGCTATACGCAACTCGTCTACGGTTTCAAACACTCACAGAAAGAGGTATAAGGAATTTGTCGGGCAATATATCAAAAAGCTAAATTGTTGATATTAGTAAAATCTAGAAACTGGAGTAACAGTAAATATAGGGAGGCTAATTACATTTTTAAATTTTTATTTTCACGCAAATTTAAATTCAGTGTTCCGTTAGAAAAGAGTCTGTTATTGAACATTTTGCAAACAGTTATATAAGGTACAGTGAAACCAAAATCAGTACAGTATGCATGTGATTCAAAAAGCGATACGATATGCAAAGACCCTGATCTTTTCATTCTTGTCGCAAATCTGACACTTTTTCAGTGCTTCCTACCACTAAAGTTATCGATTTGTCCTAACTGCAAGACCAACACCGTGTAATCGCTGCTTTGGTTTAGCATGCCTGCTTCTCAGTTCTAAGCATGACTCGTCTTGTAAACAGTCGTGCCAACCTAGGAGGGGGAAAGGGGGGGGGGGTAGGGTGAGAGAGGAGATAACCCATATCTTTATTCCCACAAAATGTAGAATTCAAACGCACTTCCTTTCACTGGTTTTGGTAAAAATATCCGAAACCGACGTAGCTGCGGCCTCGTTCATCAAATGCATTGAATGCAATGATGCTAACTGAGGCTTAAACAAATTTCGCGCACATCTGACCGCAAATATTCGTTTTGAACAGTTGGCGATAACGAGGCAATATCGGGACGGAATTTAGATCGCCCTTTCCACTGACGAGCATTTTGTCTGGCCTGTAATTAGTTACGCGCCTTTGAAGTAGGGAGTGAAATACTTAACCTTATGATCAAATTCTTAGTTAATTTTAAGGTTCAACTAAACTTTCGATTGTGGATCACAATTGCTAATTTCCCCTTATTTTTTTCTAGTTCCCGATCCACCAACTCATATTAAAGCTGAGCGGATCAATCAACGCCAGATCAAAGTGACCTGGAACCTTCCTCGCAGATCAACTTACCGAATCAACAGCGATTATCATCAGCGACCCATTCCAGTTACCGGTTTTAGGATCCACTATGCAGCCCATGATACCACTGTGGATCCTTCCAGTGAACGAATTCTTGAAGTTGGTGCCGTTACAATGGCGACTTTGGATGATGTGTCTCCAAATGAGAGTTATATTATCAAGATTCAGTCTAGAGGTATGGACAAAAGGTTCGGTAACTGGAGCGATCCGGTTATAGTCAGTGCCAGTCGATATGGTTTTGATCAGAATGGAGGGGCGTTTCAACTTAGCCGAGTTACCGATCTACGGTGTTTCGGTGTAAAACCAACTGATATGGCAAATCCAATGAACTCGAGTTTAAAGATTACTTGGCTACCTCCATCTGATCGGCGCCTGATTAAGGAATACGAGGTATGTTCGTCAAGCAATCTTTCTTGATATGGTGAAATATTGCATCTGGAGATGTTTATTGATGATAAAGTGGAGGGGTACGAGGGAATTTTGAAATTCTGGAATTCTCCTTCAAGATGTCAATAGGTCCAGTTTCTTGTATTTGGGTTGGGCAATATTTGTTGCCTTGGAGATCCACCTTCAAGATTTGTCTCCTTATATTGCATAAAACGTTCATCTACGCTCATTGACTGGTTTTATATCAAATTCTACTTTTTTCTGCTAAGTTGCTAATAAATTGCAGAGAAAAAATCGACGCATTGTGGAGCTTTCAATAATTCTGTTTGCCTCATTGCGTTAACAATAGTAAACAATAGGTTCTAAATATATGTGAGAGAGAGAGAGAGAGAGGGAGGGAAGAGATGGGGAGGCTATTTTGACGAGATTCCCGTTTTCTCAACTGTCATAAGTGTCAAAATGAGTGAACTTCTGAGTAAAATAGATAACAGCAATACCTTGTAAGTGAGGTGTATGAAATAGGTATTAAGATAGGGCCATTTTTTGTTTTGAGTCGTCTATATTAATTAAGCAAAACTGGCAATTATAATTTTTTATAAAGCAAATAATGAAAAGGTAGATGAGAAGCCAGAAGATAATTGGGAAGTTCTAGGAATCTAATAGTCTTAATTCTGATTTATATTAACCATTCGTTTAAGCAACAAACGAAATTTCAACCCATCTTAAGAGATGTTTGGCAAGAAGTGAAGTGCTTGATAATTCTGTTTTTTGTCTGTTTGGTAGAAAGAGTTCGTTGAGCCTTGAGTTGATTGACCGGTGGATGTAATTTAGACATTTTCGAACATTCATCTGCGGTGACAGACTGCTGATGTTCGAATTTGACTCTATTGTCCAACAGGCCGACACTTAGACTCCTCTGTGTATATTGAGATCAGGTATTGTTGAGACATATTTATTTATATCAAATGGCGGGCGTTTTGATAGTTATCATTAGCCCTTTAGTGGACTTCAGGCTCCACAGAGGGGAAGGAACATCAGAGTGAAAAAAGTCGAGAGGGGGGGGGTGGAATAAAGAGACAGACAAAGATGTATAAAAAAGGTGAGGCGAGTAATGTGGAAGTAGTCAAATAAGACATTCAGTGGGGTCATGGTAGTTTGAAGTCGACTGCCGGTTAATAGACCTTTTTGCCGTATGAGTATACGTTGCCCAGGGTGGAGGTAAGTCTATCGCACACCCCTTGTTGAGAGTTATAAAACTAGCAAGAAAAGTGAGGCTAAAATTTAGGAATTTTGCAGATGCGAATTGCGCGGTCTTAGTTCGGCCGCTTACAGCCGATTGAACGTCACAATGCCCCGGTTGCGTTTCCTCCATATAAAAGTAATGACAAATGAGGTGACGTGGGGGGGTAGGGCATTTTGGGTAAAGGCGTGAGTCATCACACATGTGGTTTGACCTTGAAACACGGGTGTAAAATCAATCATCCCCTCCTCACTTAATGACTACTCTTTTTTTAACAAAATGGCATGGGGAGTGCCATGGCATTTGAAATGAGAACAGATTATG